AAAATCTTTAAAAAAAAAAAAAAAGAATGTAATGGTATATACCAGCTAGTGATTTTGAAAAGCAGTAATTTGGGATGTTTATGTGGTTTTGAGAGGAAGGAATGATTAAATATATACAATAAGTAATGTGGCAAAATAAACACCAAATGCTTGTATATAATCTTTTTATTTTCTTAATCATCTCATATTTTTTCCATTTAAAGTTATTTTTCATCAATGATTTATCTTTAATAGAGAACAAGAGAAATTTATGCTCCGTGATTAAATCCAGCAATTTGCATAGCCTTTAACAGAAGTCTACAGAGAAAATAACTGTGGCCTTTATAAAAGAACGCCACAGTCCATTCTGGTTGGAGCTCAGTTTTCATGATAATGGACTACATAAAATACCATCTAGGGCACATCCTTCCTCGGTGGTGAGGGAGGGGAGCCAGCAATCACCTACGTTCTACCGTTAGTCAGCCTGCGCGAAGCTCTAGGTTGGAATGGAGGACATGCAGGAGGTACAGGAAAGTCTGCTCTTTTGTCCAGTCCATGACAAAAATGACTATTGAGAGACCAATAAACCGTCAAACGTGCTCAAACGTAGCTGACTATAATACATAAGGGGAGGGTTCTACTATTTCTATTTCATTTGTATTTAAAATATAAAGTAGTGATCCAGCCCATTACTCTGCTTTCTTGCATTCCACTTTTCCTGCCACATGATGTACATAATCAACTAAAACATCTTAAAACCATCAAAGATCTCACAGCTTCCTTTGCAATCTATCCCAGCATTGCTGGACCCTTTTAAGACATATTTTCCCTCTCTCTAGTATTAATTAATTCTAAGCTCCCAGTTGAAATGCATTTTTAAAAATATAAGCCCATAATTAGGTACGAGGAATGACTAATATTAGTAATAATTATATAACTTTACAAATAATCAAGCAATGATGAACTAATCTGAGAAAATACAACTAATCTTTCTCCATGTTTGAGTCACTCTTCGATAACATAGGATTACCAGTGATGGCAAAATTAGATTGTACTTGGGCTCAGGTGATAAGGGAATGGCTGTTTTTGAAGCAAGGTACACGTTTTATTTCCTATACAGTGACCTGATTCTTAAATTAATAATTTTGACTAACATAGATAATCTACTTTATGTCTCACCACAACCATACCAGACATGTGAAAAGTAAGGAATGTGTCTCTTATCTCTAGATTCCTGGAGCCTAGCACAGTGCTGGAAGACAAAGCAGGTGTCTAAGAAGTTTTCTGCTGAATAGTTGTTGTTGAATGAGATAGTCAAGGAAGACACTATTACTTCCACTGGGTAGATAAGAGAGACGAACTTGAAAAAGGCTGGCTAGCATGAAGGCTCACAACAATAAATGAGAGAACAGTGACTAGACCCCAGATCGGCTGACACTTTTTATTACACAGGTCCAGCTTCACAACAAGACATAGTGAGGGGCACCTGGGTGGCTCAGTCGTTAAGCATCTGTCTTTAGCTCAGATCATGATCTCCTGGGATTGAGCCCCGCATAGGGCTCCCTGCTCCACGGGGAGCCTGCTTCTCCCTCTCCCACTCCCCCTGCTTGTGTTCCCTCTCTTGCTGTCTCTCTCTCTGTCAAATAAATAAATAAATAAAATCTTAAAAAAAAAAGACGTAGTGATATTATAATGGTTCAAAAGTTACCTGTTTAACTCCAATTGTGTGAGATCCAGAAACGCCGAGCCCATAAAGTCATCTTGTAGTCCAAAATCATAGTCAAATACCTAAGAAGCCAAAGAGACAAGGCATTATTAGAAATAATTCCAATATAAGCTTTAAGTGAAAAATATCTCGATTATAAAATACTGGTTGTCTATGTCACCAAAAGCAATGAAACTTATTATTTATTTTTAAAAATTACTTTGTTTGAAATGTTAGGGTCTCACAAAATATTCAAAGGAAACTACCTTTAATTTTATACTTAAAATTTCTATTTTATATCAAATAGAACTTTAAGGAAGACGAATAACAAAATCAAATAAATATAGTAAATCATCAAAAATCTGAGGAACATAAGCTTAGAATATTTCCCCCATATTATTAGCATTACTGAAAGGAAAAATAAGTTGGTATGAAATTCAACAAATACGTCTTCCTCAGTGGGTTACTGGTGATGATAATATAATTCTAATCTCTTTGCATTTTTCAGGTCACTGAAGATGAATTCTCTGATATTATAGGAAAATTCTGTTTTAAATATACAAATAAGTAAAAACTGAGGTGTTGTTATTAAAGCATTTTGTAAAGTCATGTTAAGGTTAAGTCAAATCAAGTTTCTATCGTCACAAGCAAGGCTAGGAAATAATATTAACGTAACTACCAGCAACAAGCAGAAAGGAAAGAAAAGAATGTATTTCTTCCTTCTGTCAGAACTATTTATCCAGTATCTTCTCTATGCCTTTCATGCTTCTTATCCATACTATGATGAATAAGAAAGCAGCACCCCTGATCTCTTGCGACCTGCATTTAGGAGCTGAGATGGTCCATAAAAACCCAAATAGATAGATACATTTAGTGATGAGTGCTGTGGACACAAATGTCTAAGGGGGTGTGTTGGGAGCTGCTATTTTAGACTGGAGGTCCAGGAAGCCCTTTTGGAGGAAGTCTGCACCTAGGGACCGGAATAATCAGAAGGATTAAGCCAGTTTGGGAAGATCACTCCCAGGCAGGAGAAACAGCAGGTGATTAGCATATGCAAGGGTCATCCAGAAGCCAGTGTGGTTGAAGCAGACTGAGAAAGATGGACAGTGGAAGAAGGCTGGAGACACGGCTCAGGGCTAGATCAGTTAGGGCCATGTCCAAAAAACTCTAAGTAAATGGGAGTTGGCTAACTTCCAACCATTTATTAATTTTCTTACTCATTCATCTCCTCTGCCAATATTGATCAAGTATTCATTATGTATCAGACAATATGCTAGGTGCTGTGTAAGCAGTGGTGAGCAACCTGACATGGCCAATGCTTACAGTTTAGTGAGGGAGACAGATGCTAGAGAAGGAAGTGCACAGGTGATATGTAATTACCAGTTGTGTTAAGTGTTGTAAAGAACAGATTGTGAAAAGAATAAAAATAACAATGGAGATCAGGGAAAACTTTTAAGATGGAAGAAAGATGCTCCTAGATAAAGTTGGGGGCTGTGCTTCCTGACCTTTTCAAATAGAAAGTCTTTGTATTGTACACTGCAGGAAATGAGCATGGACAAGGAAGCCAGCTCTTGAATGGATGAACCAGGCCGTCGAACCCTCCAGGATGTGAGAATCCATTAGGCTGAGCGAATCCACAGCCCAGTACTCTGGTGCCCAAATCAGCACAACTGTGCTCAATAGTTAGAAAGCTTGAAGGAGAGGGAACAGTATGTACAGCAGCCTGAATTACTGGTTTTTCTCTAGACTAAGTATACTTCAAGTTAAACTTACTATGTAAAAAATTGATATTTAAACCAACAGATAAACACTTTGCATTACAAAAGCATTCTTAAATTTGAAGAGTCACAAGGGGATTTATTTAAGTGATAAATTCCCTTAATGCCTTCTAAATTATTCAATTTACAGTCATTTCACTTACATACAACCTTTCAGGAGTACATTTGTTATAGAAAGCACAGTGCTCCTGCAATAAATATTCTCCTTGATCAATTACACTTCTGAGTTCTAGTCATCTGCTCAGTGGCATATCACATGAGTATACTGCAACATCTCAGGCAAAGGACATGTCAGTGTCTGCAGGTGGCTGCAACAGGGTATTTTACAACATAAAATTTACACTAAAAATTAAATAAATTTCTTACGCAACCTCTTCTAACTGTATCACCCTAAAGCTTAAAATCTTGGGACTCTAGTGATAATGAGACCATCTGGAGTACATCCAGACATGTGAAGTGGAGAGCTGTGAATCCAGTGAACTGGCTAAAAGAAACATCCCAGCTGGGTGATGGAATATTTGAACTCTCTTTACTCTCGTGGTGAAAGTCTTTACTACAGTCCTAATGCTAGGTGCTTACTTTACTTCTCCTATTACTTAGCAAGCGCATCCATATGGGAAAGAATGGAACCACCAGAATCCATTCATTAATGAAATTATTAGTGATGCTACTTGGTTCTATGCTCTATAAACTACTTGTCAGAAGGAGCATTGCTGTAGGGGGAGTTCCAGAAATACAGAGCACAGAGAAGAGAGAAAATAGGGAAACGTACTCCCACTGCAATAAGAACATGCACAGTTAACACTGATTAATGTTTATTCAATATTTGCTATCCGTTAGGCACTGTTATCTATTAAACATGTTACGGAAATTTTTTTTTAAGATTTTATTTATTTATTTGTCAGAGAGAGAGAGAGTGTGAGAGCACAAGCAGGGGGAGGGGCAGGCAGAAGGAGAAGCAGACTCCCCACTGAGCCAGGAGCCCGACGTGGGGCTCCATCACAGGACCCTGGGATCATGACCTGAGCGGAAGGCAGACACTTAATTGACTGAGCCACCCGGGCACCCCTGCTTTGGAGATTTTTAAATTTATGTCTTACACAACTCAGTGAACAGGGTATTGTTGTGTCCATTTTTCAGACGAGAAATCCAAAGCTTGAAAAGTTTATGTTACTTCCCCCCAAAATTCAGGGCTTGGAAGAGGTCAGATTCAGATTCTATAGTACAGGATGCTCTGTTCAGCATAGAACATACTGAAATTTAACAAATACGACTTGGCCACCCACTGTGAGTGAAGTCCTGCAAATTCAGACATGAACAGTTTAGATGGGATCCTTGCTTTCACGGAGCCTCCCCTGGGAGAGGTGGAAACCTTAGGTAACATTAGATAAAAGTTGCTCGGGCTCCGTTAACACCTCTCTTCATTCTCACGTGAGTTTAGAACAACACGTGTTTTATTCTAATCAATGAATTTATTTAACATCTCGATTCAATTGTCTTCCAAGAAAAATTGCATCAGGGAGTACACTAGCTAAAATGCTTTTGGGATATAAGTAACAGAAAACTCAACTCCCATGAATGGGAATTTGTTAGCTCAGATGACTGAAATGCCCATAGGTGCTTATGACTTCAGGGGAGTTTTCAACTGCCAGTTCAAAAGATTCCTATATCTATTCATTCAGTTACTTGAGAAATATTTGGTCAGGATCTGTAATGTGCCAAATGTTGTTCCAGGCACTGGAAATACGGCAGTGAATGGGACAAAGTCTCTGATTTCTTGGGGCTTACATATGGGCAGGGTATAGACAATAAACAAATGCATGTTAGGTAGTAATAAGTGTCATGGAGAAAAATATCTCAGAGTATGGGAGTGATGAGAAATGCTATTTACAGAAGATGTTTAGGAGGACAATCAGAGAGAGTGGCATTCGAATAAAGAGGCATAATGAGAATAGGATATGGAAAGGGATCCAGATCACATAATGTGACCCAAGATATAAGATTCTACTCAAATATGTCCATAACTCATTTTCATACCCAGGAAGCTTCAAAATACTCATTTCACTATACAAGAATAATTAAACTCTGAATTATAGTATTGACATTGTAAAACAAAGAAAATAAAACCTAACTGCGGCCATTGCGATTAGTCATCTTTAGTGGAAAAAAGTTAAGTTGCATAATTGCTGGGTGGACATAGGAAACACTGAGTCCCTCTAAGTCTCTCTCACCTATAAAATGGGGATAAGGATAGTTACTTGTCAGGTATTGTGAGGTTTACATGAGATAAAGTAGGCCTGGCACCTAGCATGGTGCTTAAGAAATTGTAGTTATTATTATGATGAGAAGATGTGACCACAGATTCCATCTTCCCAAGACTCAATAACTTCCTATGTTCTCTGCCTATAAACCAAAAGCAAGTGTGGTCACACTTGTTTATTTCCTTGTTTTGTTTTGCTATTGATTTTTGTTGTTGTTGTCTAAAACAGTTGAGATTCTTGATTCATGCATTTAGGAAGTATTATTGAACCATACAAAACAAAATGTCTAAGATAATATAAGCATCTAACTTTGGAATAATTTGGTTTGGGTGCTGTGTAGGTTAGGGCTAGAAACATTTTCATTCCAACTACTCAGTTGTTTCCATTTAAAAGTCTAGAAAAGTGGCTCCCTACCCAAGCAGTGCATCAGAATAACCTGCTGTGTTTTAAAAATACAGAAGATTGGACTCTACCTCAGAGGTCCTGAATCAAAGTCTTTAGGGAAGACACTTGAATAAAAAAAAAAGAACCACAAACAAAAATAAAACAAACAAAAAAAAACCCTTTATGGATAATTCTGATGTACAGCCAGAGTTGATGATCATTGGTATATGACATTCTTTTAGGGCCCTTAAGACCTAGTGAGAAATAATTTTGTATAAGATAGCAATATGGTCTTTAATTTGAACCATGTTTAAGGATTTCTTTTTTTGAGAGAGAGAGAGAAAGTGCATGTGCGAGCATGGGGGCAGGGGCAGAGGGAGAGGGAGAGAATCTTCGAGCAGACTTCCCGCTGAGCACAGAGCCATGCAAGACTGTTCTCACCACCTTGAGATCGTGACCTGAGCTGAAATCAAGAGTCATATGCTTAACCAACTGAGGCACCCTGGCACCTCAAGGACTTTCCGATTTCAAATCTTAAACTTGTATAGATAGGAGTTACTTAAGGAATTGTCAATTTTGGTAAAATAACAGTCTTAGAAACAGTAATCTGACCCCCAAACAGAATCACCTTCCTAATTACCAAAAACTTTCTATTATTTAGAAAAGACTCCAATCTAATACCCAGATTTCTAGCCTATGATTAGGCCAAACAAGTAGCAATTTACACAAACATTTCCCCTTTCTATTATTTTTCTCTCTTCTACTGTAACTCTGGGGGTTCACTGTGTACCTTGGATAATAGTGTCAGTGAGATGAAAATCGAGAATTTAATTCAATTCAACTGAAATGGACGCTGAATTTACCCTATTCTCTAAGATGTGTGCCGGAGCATCCCTGTGGCAGGCTCCAGTGGCTCTTGCCTCAGTTAATAGCATTGCATTTAGGGTGGCTCAGTTGGTTAAGCCTCTGCCTTCGGCTCAGGTCATGATCCCAGGGTCCTGGGGTCAAGCCCCATGTTGGGCTCCCTGCTCAGCGGGAGCTTACTTCTCCCTCTCCCTCTGCCCTCCCCTCCCTACTTGTGCTCTCTCACTCACTCTCTCTCTCAAATAAAATCTTTAAGAAAATAGCATTGAATTTAAACCCCCAGCCTCTACTACTACCTTATAAATATATTTCAAGTCTATTCCTATAAACTTGTTTTCACCTGCCCTTACTAAGAAGTCATTTGGAGCAGAAGGAATATTCTCATTAAAATTAAAATCTACATGAACTCCAACCAATTGGAAAGTATGTTATTATTTATTTTGTGTCTAGTTTTTTTTAAATGACAGTTCCAAGATTTTTTTTGGAAAAAAAATCTATTTTTTCTAGAATTGGTAAAAGCACTGCAACTTTAATGCAATTTTATAACCTTGGCTCAGAACTGACTTTTGTTTCCCTTGGTAATCCTTACATTGATAGAAATCAGATTACAGGGTACACACGGACTTCTTTTTCCTTTAACTGTAGACGGGAGGGTTGTAGACAATATTTTCTAACCATCCAGTACATGGATGCATTTTCGTATCACCTGTCACTATAGAATCAGTTCATCCCTAAGAGATCTTTCAGGCAAGATTAATCTCCCAGCATGGAGGATATAGGCATCATATCAAAATCAAGTCAGTCAATCACACAAGGCTGTGTAGAGACAATGAAAAGAATGCAGTGTTCATGAAATTCTAGTAACTCAAAATATTTCCGCCAATGTATTTTGTTTAGGTCTCTGTGTGTGTAAGGTTAGGCAAAAAGTAGATAGCATAAAAAATGGAAAAAATAAAGCAAAAAGTTAGAGATTTTTCTCAAAAGAAGCCCTAGCATTTTACAGAAAATGAAAATCAAGTGAAAAATAGGAAAGCATATTTAAAAGCATAAAATAGTACATAAAAATATTGTCATTTTATGTTTGTACACATAGTATTTGGGAAGCCAGTGTGATTCCTACTTAATCATTTTTCTTATGTAGAAATGTACAAAAGTGGCAAATACTTTACAATTCACTGTTTTTTTCTGTACGGTGAAAGCTAAGTTGTAGCTATATGATGTCGTACTTTGAAAACTCAAAGTGATAAACAAACAAAAAAATAAAAACAACATTTGGGGTCTCTCTCCTAGCTTCTTAGCTTATAGCGTGGCATCAGCCAAGGCCTTTGGCCTGCACACTGTATCACTGTCTCCATGACAGTAGAAGGATATGCACGTACACATTCTTGCTCTCTCAGACCACAACAAAAGTTTTTGCCACCATTTTGTGTGTGTGTGTGTGTGTGTGTGTGTGTACGTCAGATTTTAGTTTGTTTTTGAGCCTACTGTGATATTCTTTTTCAAACATGCATTTTGACATTTTGATTTCTACAGAGATGAATACTCATTCTTGAGCACAAGAGAATAGCGAAAGGACCTAACCAACATCTAATGTAATTTTGGGAAGTTCATTTTGTAACCCTTTCAAAGACTGGAGATCCACCTGGTTCTGTTGTAGAGTAATAGCCCAGTAAAGAAACAGATCCACAGTAAAAGTAATTAAAAATAAATCTTTTTCTTTCCATGATTTTTCTCTTACGGGACCTTAAACAAGATGCAAGTGGTCCAGTGCAATCCTTACTAACACCTGCTTTCTTTCCTCTCCTGTCCACTGTCCCCGTGGTTACAAATGCTCTAACTCATCTCTTCCAAACCTCCCCAGAAATAAAATTTCCTTTACATTCCACTTGTCTTTTTTTTTAATTCCTTTTTCATCTTCTATCTCAGTTTTTTATTATGAAGGTATTTTCTTTTTTCTCATGCAGATATTTCTTTCTCTCTGGAAGTGGGGAGCAGGAAAGAAAAATACCTCAGACCTGGAGATCTTCCCTTTGGTGGGAGGAGGATTGGCTGCGAATATTCCCACATTAATAATTCTTACGCCATCACACATTGTATATTAAAAGATAGTTCAGGAATGTTATTTAATTGATTTTCTTTAGCCAATGTCCACTTGAGACTATTTCTTATGCAAATACAGATCTATTCTCCCATAATGTCTTCTAGAAACTTATCAACTGTGTACTTAGGAAATTTTCTTTTCGTTGATCTTATAAACTGTTTTGCTATGATTTTTTTTTAAGGCTAGTCAAGTGCAATAGTGAGAAGGGGGAAAGAGTAGAATAAGGAGTTCAACCTGTAACTGACTGTGAACAATCAATTGAGAGAACTCACTACACCTTTGGACCAACCAGTTCTGCTATGATTTTAATAAAATCTTGATTATTATTTTTCTTTCTGTGGAAAAGAGAAAGAGCTGGAGGCAATATGAATGAAGAGTTGATGGGAAGGAGGATGCCTAGAGATTGCTTAACGAATGATTATGTGAGATTTTTGGTTCATGCGCCATTCGTGACAAGAGAGAGAAAAGGAGGAGGCATGTGGTTATTACGGTAAAAGTAGAAAAAAGTTTGGCCATTGAAGGGATAGTCAGAACATAGGAGCCACAAACAGCGTGGAGATATGAATTAGATACAGAAAAAATATCTAGAGATACGGATTAAAGATAATTTAGATAGGGAAATAAAACAAGGAATTAGGGTTGCAACGATCTCCTTAAGTTCTTTTTTTTTTTTTTAAACTACATCAAGTGAGGGGAAAGACTCTTTTTTCCCCCCATTTTTGGTAATATGATAGGGACAGGAAATCCACCCCCCTTTTTTATCTTTACCCTTCTCATCTGCCAAGGAAAATATATTTTTGCAACCTGTAATGGCAGATCCCCTGATAGAGTTCTTGAACAGAAAGGCTGGGTTCTGTGTAAGTTTTCCTTCTTGCTAGATTTCACAGTGACTTGTTTTCTAAATTCCCAGAGTGCACTGAGTCAGTTAACTGCACCAAACAGGAGAAGACTGACTTCATAATCCTCCTAAATGACTGGCAATAGAACTGTGCTGAAGAAAAATGCTCCCCAGCTTCCTCTCCCCTCGCGGTCTCCTCTCTGTCACACCATCAACAGATGAAAGTTGCGCAGAGCAGAATTTATCTCTGGTGAAAAATCTCATCAGTCAGGGAGACATGATAGAAAACCATTAAACAGGGAGTTTTATGTCATTGCATTAGGGGAAAACATAACTGGCTCACCTTGATATACAAGGGTTCCCTCAGATGTTCAACAAGAATGCAAGCTTTCTCCTCCCACACAGGATTGAGGTTCTTGTGTATTATTTTACTTCTAAAAACTTCTTTTCCTCCAATTTTAAACTTCACGTATGGATCACTTGTCCCTGTTAAAGAGATAGAGATTAATTCATGTTAGTCACACTATTTGCTGGGAAGCAAGAGATTAGCTCATTTAAACATCAGGAAGTATTTAAAGGAATCAAAGTTTAAAAAAGCTTATCACATGGGAAAATAAAAGTTAAATGTTTTTTCCCAAATTTTTCCTTAAATTTTAAAGTGACAGTAAATATTAATAATAATTATTATATCTAAGTAATAATAATACTAATTATTATTATTGTATCTTCTGATCTTAATTCTGTAACCCTATCCTGGTATTTAAAAACCTCTATTTCATACTGCATATGTAAATTTAATTCATATTATAAACAAAAGAGATTATTCTGACATTTCTCTTGGTATCACCCAGTCAACTATAAAAAGATGATCCATGATCTTGACTGATTTAACTAGTTTTAGACTTATATATGCTGCTCAAATTTTAGACTAGTCTGATGGGCTTAAGGAAAGGTGAGTCTTAAACTGGGCTTTCATTTCATCCTTGGTCCCATATTCTCTCGAGCTCAGAAGTTGCAATTTTAGAACACGAGGAAAGGATGGAGGTCTCAGAGGAAGGCGTGGGGGGAAGGGTACAACTGTTTATTAAGTAATCTGCAAACTTCATATTATCCCTTCGCACCCCCCAAGCTCCTTATGATGATAAAGAAAATCAGACCTGTCGAGTAAGTTGCTCACGACACACAGCTAGCAGGAGATGCAGTTATAATTCCAACCAAGCTTGTTTGACTCTAACACCTGTGCTTTTTCTACTACACCTGCAAGGGGGAGGGGCTTTGACATACTTCTATATATATCATACCATTTCTCATTGCGACCAATGAATGAGGCCAATTGATCTAATGAGTCTATGCTATTACTAAGGATTCCTAGAGAAGGTGAATCAGAGACATCTCCAGGTAAATCATCCCAGTGTGACAATCTTCATCCCCAGGAAATAATTCTTTGTACGAGGCCCAACTCCCTTATAAGATTTTGTTGGGGTGCCTGGATGGCTCAGTCGGTTAAGCGTCTGCCTTCAGCTCAGGTCATGATCTCAGGGTCCTGGGATAGAGCCCCACTTGGGCTCCCGGCTCAGTGGGGAGTCTGCTTGTCCTTCTGCCCCCTGCTCATGCTCCCTCTCTCTCTCATAAAAAAATAAAATAAAAAAAAAAAGATTTTGTTTAATTCTTTCTGTTTTGCCTAAACTGAAGCTATAATTGATAACTACGGTCTGTATGATTTAAAGAAGAATGTGAGTGGGGGGTCTGTAAACTGTAAAGTATGATATAAATGTTAGGGATTACAATTACGATGCTGATACCTTAAGCTCACTCTCTGTATCACTTCTCAACACTCCACTCACTGCAGTGACATATAAATATTGATGCAAAATATAAGGACTGCCACATAGGACTTTGTTTTTCTTATTTATTCATTTGTGGGCTTTCTTAAAACCCTCCACACTTTTGAAGTAAATATAATACCTTGCTCTTTGTATGCCTAGACCCGGGTATAATAAGATAATGATCCCAATTCCTCGTTGTGAAACTCCCATTTTGACAGTGTGATTTTATCATAATGGTACAAACTTAAAAAAATTTATAAATATAAATATAGGCTATTATATGGTTACCCATTATAATGAATGCATTCTTCTGGGGAGTCAGTGCAACTGAAATGTTAAAAAATTGCTAATTTTAACACAGTAGTTCCCAGTTATGGGCTGAGGACCCTGGGGATTGAGGGTTTTAGAGCACAAATTTGGAGGTTATTAAAATCCATGTACCCATTTGAAATTTCTCAGTCACGCCCTAGATCAAGTTATTGTCTTTGATTTTGAAATTCATCTATGTAACCATTACCACCTGCTAAAATATAACAAGCTTCATAATATCAGAGCCATTTGGATCCCCCTTTTTAAAAATCTCCAGCACTTAGTACAGAATCAGACATAATGTTGGTCCTCAATAGACATTTAGTGAATAAATGAATGAATTAATGACTTAATAGCGTGGGTGGCAGCCTCTGCTCCTGCTGACTTTTGTCCCCTCCACTTGGATATCTAATAGACATTCCAGTGTCCACAATGTCCAAAACTTAAGTCTTGATCCTCTCTCCTGCTAGGTCTGCTCCTCCCTCAGGCTTTGTCAGGTCAGTCAATGAATGACTTCATCATTTGACAGCTGTTCATGCAAGGCACCTGGAAAGTGCTCTCAATACCTCCTTCTTCTCCATGCTTTGTACCCAGGACACCATTAAGTCCAATAAATTCCAAAATACATCTTATCCATCTTCTCTGCCTCCAATCTAGTTAAGCCACCATGATTTCTTTGCTGTTCTACTCTAAAAACAGCCTCCTAATTGGGCTCTCCACATCTTCTGTGTCCCCCTCCATTAATTCACTATGTGGCAGACAGATTGACCTTTTAAAAATGCAAATTTAATCTTCCCTCTTCTTTGCTTAACACATCTCAACAGCTTGCAACTACATCTATAAGAAAATCCAAACTCTGGGGGCGCCTGGGTGGCTCAGTTGTTAAGTGTCTGCCTTCGGCTCAGGTCGTGATCCCAGGGTCCTGGGATTGAGCCCCGCATTGGACACGCTGTTCCACGGGAAGCCTGCTTCTCCCTCTCCCACTCCCCCTGCTTGTGTCCTCTCTCTCCTGTGTCTCTCTCTGTCAAATAAATAAATAAAATCTTTAAAAAAAAAAAAAAAAGAAAATCCAAACTCTGTAATATGGTATACAGGACTTGCCATTTCTCCAACTCCATTTTGGGCCCCTTACTATGTTCCAGGTATCCTGTACTGGAAGTTATTTTCCGCTTCCAGCTTTTGCACATTCTAGCTAGCCTCTCTGCTTGAAAAGTCCCTCCCTCCCACTCTCTTCCCCTTTTGCCTGGCTGACATTTTATTATCCTCCTGGTCTTGGTTTAAATGCAATTTTCTCAGGGATGCTTCCTTAACCTCCCAATTTGAATTAGGTCTCATTATTACTTTCTCTTGGCATTTGCTCTTTGCTTAGTAGCAGTAATCATTATGTTACTTATAGGTTAATTTGTATGTCCACCTGTTTATTGTGTGAATTTTCCCACTGGCTATGACCCCCATTAAGGCCAAGCCCCTTCCCCGACACATGGCACAGTGTCCGGAGTGGAGGAGGCACTGGGTAAGTATTTGCTAAATGGATGAGTCAATGAACGACTACAGAGTTTACAGTGTACAGAGTACTGTTAAACCTGATCAACCTATATTGAAGATGAGAAAAAATCTGAAATTCAGTGTGACTTGCCCCAAATCACATGACAAGTAAGGCAGGCAGTAACAGGATAGAAGCAAACTTAGACTTTCAGACTCCAGATGCAATGTTCCTTCTACTTAGCTTTTAGGAAGCCCGGACATCCATATTTTCCTGCTTTTACTCTAAAATACCATCAGAGAATTATCATATAAAGGTGTTCAATAATCAGTAGATACTGTAAATAATACTAATATTAACAAGTAGCCTCCTCTGGTCTCTAGAACACTCACACTCATTATTTGTTTAACCACCCTACATCTCTGTGAGTCTACTGTTGTCTCCATTTTACGGATGAGAAAACCAGGACAGGTTAAGTGGCTTGTTCCAAGTCAGATGAGAACTCACATCTGGAGACCAGTCTGGTTAGTGCTTTTTCCGGCACATCATTATGAAACACTCATTTCAGGATGCAACAATGCTTGATTTCTGTTGTTCAAAAAGAATAACTCTTCTACAAGGAAAGTGATTTCAAGAAACTTGGCCTTGTGTCTCTAAGTAGTGTCTCACTCCATTTGGTTTGGCTATTCTGTAAAAGGACAAAACTTCCAGTGATTCAGCACAGAAGACCATACACACAAAAGTAAATCCTTTTGGGAAGCAATCTGTTTCTTGACCTTCCCAGAAACACTTTCCTCACCAGCTGTATAGGTCAACTGTCAAAATTCCCTCAGAGTTAGATACACCCAGTTCCTGGAATCCTGCTGGGTGGTCCTAAGGGCTCAATGGTAGAGCTTAAATCACAAAAGGAAATCTAGATCACTCGAGCTAACACGTGCTGAACACCAGATACAACACACCGCCTAACAAGCCTGAGAGAAGACTTCAGCTGCTATCTTGAGGTGACAGTTGCAGAAACTACAGCATGCAACAGGTGAGTAAATTTTCCAAAGTCACACAGCGAGGATGTTGGGGCTTGAATTAATTGTTACACTAGGCGCGCTCTCTCTCTAAAAAAAAAAAAGAAGAAGAAAAGAAAAGAAAAGAAAAGAAAGTTGCACTGGAGAAAAAAAAGCCCCATGGTCAAAGAAGCCTGGAAAATGCTGCATGTCATACCCCTTATTGGAGAGTCATGGTGCACATTCACTTATTTAAAGGCGATAGAAAATGAACCTATTTAATTTTGTTCTAAACCAGCATTTTCTAATATGCTAAATATTCTAAATATGCTTGGCCACAGAATTCCTTAAATTCCTGTGCTAGTGCTGCTTTGTTGCAATATTGCATTCAACCACAAGATGGCACTAACACTTATCAAATTGTTGTGAGGCCTGTGGTTCTATTCAAAATTAAGGCCTCTTAAATACACACTTTGTGGTTTTCAAGCATTTTCTAGCCACCTGTGCTTGCTGTTATTAACTGAGCCATGGCCCTCATTAAAACATTTTCTATGGCACTGATGAAATGAAAACAGGGCAAATAAGTATGGGAGAAGAAACTAGGACGTGTTAGCCCTAAAATAAAATTCAGGTTTTATTGTTATTCATGTCATAGTCAAGAGCATCCTTCTTCACACATGCGCTTTATCAGATAGCATTAACTCCAGAATTTATTTTTCAACATTAATCCTTTTATTTTATAATTATAAATTCTATGCTTTAAAAATTCTAGAGTATTCTAGGGGCTCCTGGGTGGCTGTCGTTAAGCGTCTGCCTTCGGCTCAGGTCATGATCCCAGGGTCCTGGGATCGAGCCCTGCATCGGGCTCCC